GATGATGATGATGATGATGATGATGATGATGATGGTGATGTTTTTAAATGTGACCTTATCACAGAGTGAGACGATTCTTAGTGGGGTACTAATGTGAATGTTCATGGAGGTGAAGCATGATAAACTTCTCCGTAGGCCTTGAGTGCAGTGTGTGGTGTTTCCCACGACATCCAAGTCGAAAGTAATCTCTGGGGGATGCCTGGTGAATATGCAAACATGTGGTTGTCACCCATTCCACCGTGTGAATAACTCATGCTACTGGTTATTCTTTCAGTAGTTAAAAAGCGAACTCGTCATCCAGTTGGCTGCTGGACAGCCAAACTAATTGGATAGTTGTGTCGAAGTTCATCGTTGTATATAGAAGACAAATCAGCATTCAAGTGATATCAAAGAATGGCTCCAGTAACTAACAGTGCGGATTAAAAACTGTATTTGAACTAGCATTTCATTTTCTGTTAAACTTCGAAAGAGCGAAAAGAATCTAACGAAATTGGAAGCATGTTTCTCTTTCGCGAGCCAGACAACTAATATTTTAAGCCGGATGGGAAAATAATGGCCAAACGGAGAATTCACCCACCTTCCAATTGTGGAGGCTCCACGTTCGCTTGTGTAGAGTTTACACTGACACGAGGTATGGCCACTGTGACGATCACACCGGCACTCGTCCCGACCCAGAGCAGATCCTTGCAAACTGCCATACACGTGATCCTAAGACAGGCTTCTTTGTGGCGCATGATTATTTCGTCACAGTCTGTGGAAAGAAATGTAGTAGCAAAAGTGTGACCACTTAAAGGTAGATTCCTCTCCCCTGTACATCTTGTTGTCAGTTGGGTTGCCACAGCCGCAGCTGACCTAACGGGAATTTCTCTGCTTGTCACTTTGCGGCGCATGACATTTACCGTTTTTTCACTCATGGGGAGGTCTCCTGGAAGTTATTTCAACATAGATTTTGGCATACCTGATCCGCTTACTTTTTGCGACAGAAAATAACCCAAGACTGTGTGCGAATGTGGGCTGCGTCATAAACGATGGGCTTCGTCGGCTGACATTGATCAGGAAAGAACGACGCATATGAAAGAACCGTTTGATGTCTGAATCGCCCAGTTGGCGGGAAGTTTTTGAACGACGCATATGAAAGAACCGTTTGATGTCTGAACTCGCCCAGTGGCGAGTAAGTTTTTTTTTAATAAGATAAGGCTTCCTCAAGCCCAAATGTATTAGAATTTCAATAAGAAGGAGTGGGTCTTCTAAGTCTCAACGGAAAAGAGAAATATCATCTCAAAAAGTTTGTCTTTCGTACTACTCAAATAACAGTCAGTTTTTTATCAGTACATCAGTTAGCAAATGAGCCAGCAGTATATCTTACTTGTCATTGTAAATAGACTCACGCAACTGTCTTAGTGGGGTTCCTGGTGTGGCTTAGCCGGTGTTTAGCTGTTTAACATCCTTTGTCCAAGTGTGGAATGCAACGAACTACACGATTAAACTCATGTGCAGATTATCGAAGCGCTAATCTGTGAAACACGCGGGGTTCTGAGCGCAGGCAGATGAAACAGACCGCTTTATAAGACAAGTGCGTCGCTTTAAAACGAATCGGTAATCAAAATAGTTCCCCTATCTAACAACCCACCATGTAGTGACTCTCTACGGAATTCAGTACGTTTACTCACTAGATACCGCTGATTTCTTTTGGCTTTTGGCAGACATACAAGGAAGCGACCATAAGAATATAGTGTGACATTTTCTAGGCCTTTTTAACTATGATCGGTAACAATACAGTCGCGCCGAAGATACTTTTAGGTGATATGCGAAACTCCAATAATATTTTCTGTTGTTGCTGATGAAACTGGATTTTCCAAGGAAATACGGAGACACGGCTACGCACACTAAATTGCCTTAGGTGAGTTCTGTTTCCTCTGAAAGAGTAACTGCACATACGCCTCTCTTGTTTGGCAGGTAAATTCGACGAAACACTGGATAAGTTCAGGTGAGATACCTTGGTCAGTACTTCACTCTATCCCGATGAAAACAGCCTATTCAAAAGAAAATGAAACATCCTAAACGGGGGCAAAACCGTCTTTTCTACAAAAAAACATCGAGTCTGTTGTTTGCTACATCGGTGATAGACCTTTATTGATTCGATTCTACGTTCGGCTAGCCAGCTTCCTGTGGTGCACATGAACTATAAGAGACAGCATATGCTGTCCAAAATTCTCTAATTTGTCGTGCAAACCATTCGCACTATCGCTGTGGCGTTCTGGTGATTTCGATCACCCAGTGAGTGATAATTCTATTTAAGATTTAAACATTCTTTTGGCCTGGTGTATTCGTAGTTGTGCAGTAAAATATGAAAATATCTCCCACTCTCAGCTCACTGTTCAGTGAAGCAAATGGGACAACACACGGTTTGCCGTGGGGTTGGTTCCGTTTCATAGTTTTTGTCGGGATGTAGTCTAAAAAGAGCATTTTATGATCGTATATGTTAGGTAAAACAATGCTGTCCCCCCTTCGATGATGTCAGGATCTCATCCAGTTACCTAGCTGTTTCGACGTTGTTAAGTATTCAACCAAACACCAATTTAGAATTACAACAAGACCAAGATCTTCCAAACACGATAAGACCTGTGCACTGCGAATTCCACACAAGGAGAATGGAACAGCTGTACACTTCATTTTAAAGTATTTTCACCATTTGTTGGTGTTGTGGAATGGACTGACTTTCAAACCAAAACATCTCCGCATCTTTACTACTTATGATGACAGAAGTAGGCGGTAAACGTTTCAGATCTGCGTGGGACACATCTGCTTAAATTATTCACTGCAGCAGAACTACCCTGACTTGCATTACCAGCCTACTTCGGAAATATATGTGCCCACCTTTACTAAAAAGGTTACAAACGAAAGGCAGTGAGCCGACATGGTTGTGGAATACTCACGTTGCAGACTTTGTAGTACGATTGGTTTGAGGTCAATTTCCATGAGAAACTCTCCAGTCGTTGCGTGGTACAGACTGATACGTGGACTGTTCTCCGTGGCAATCCAGACAGTTTGGTTCCCGTAAGCCATCATTTGTATGCCCCGCGGGTCGGCTGGATTTCCGTTGAGTGGAAACGAAAGCTGGGTAGGGAAGTTAGTGTATTATGGAAAATAGTGCGTGTGATGGGAAAATCTGTCATCGGACTAAAACGGAACAGTTAACTCGCACCCGAATGCCCACCAATACAGAGCTCATTCCCCCATGAAATAATTTGATTTATGCTTCCTGACTCCTCAGTAAGGTTTCCTGAGTTCTGAGATTTGAATTCAGATTTCCTCAGACTTGATTCTTTCAATAGCCGAAAATGGTAGATCAAGCAGTTTAGTGATGAGTTGACTCCTACCGTGGACAGTAAGCACAAGTAGTCTCTGACTACTGTCTACTACATATCCAGTGTTTCACATCCGGAATTTCATTGGTAATCAAAAAATCATCTTGTCTGTGTCCTTCTTTCATTATCGCGACAGAGAGATTACGAAATACAGTCACACAGATTTCCCTTTTCTGGCACAACGCCACAGACGAATGCACTCTCACGGATGTTGGAAGCCTGGAAGATGCTTATTAGTTAGCTATGGTACACATCCACAGTTTGTTTGGCAGTCAAGCAGAAAGGAGTGGATGATAAATTCATGTTTGTGAATTTCATGTCTCCTTGCTTACCTTAAGATGGGTGGTTTGCGTATGTATCAGCATCTGATCAGCCCCGATCACGGATTGGATAGGTTTTCGTACATCCTCATCCAGGCATAATCAGTGCAAGAGTGTACTGTAGCTAACTGGTTTGATGTGCCATCTTTTAAAGCCATAAGCAGTATTTCAGAGTCTTGCAAATGAGTGTATTTCGCGAATTTCGTGCAATTTGGTGTCAAATGGAACATAAGGATGACGGAAACCCGGGGACTGCGCTACCTGATGAGCCCCAAGAAGGGTGAAACCGGTCGTGGGCTGTCGATGAATTTTCAGCAACCTTGTGAGTAGCATATTACGAAAGGTTAACTTTTTACTGAATTGGAATGCATCTCAACACAATGCAGATGGAACGTCATGAAAGATTCGAACCCCCACCAACTAGCTTTCTGCTTTGCCAACTAAACTTTTCCACGTCATACATGTAGTTGGAATCACTTCATCAGCATTCCTAACCAATATCACCTCTCAGAGTCTGTGTAAAATTTCAACTATTTGCCCTGAGCAGTAAAGATAAAAAAGAGGTTAATCGTTCAGCTGTAACAGCCTTTCCCTGCCTAAATGCCATGCAATCTGAAAAACTGCGGAATGATTTATTCTTGAGCGAGTTTATTCCTGATTTAAACCAGGTAACATAACCGAACACCAGTGGGAAAGGCCCACTTAATGGAATTACACCATCCCAATCAGAACAGATGACTGATACTATTGTTTACCGTTCAGCAGTCTACTGTTTTCGAACGGTGATAGTGACATACCAAAAGGATAGCAATGTTTCAAGCTACGTTGGATGCTACATTTTGTGTCCTGCGATGTAAAAAAAGCAGAAGTATAGTGGCAAACGACACGAAAATAATGTTCGGGTGCGGTCTGAAAAGCTGCCGATAAAGCGCTCTTTGTTTTTTCCAAGTTTTCACAGTTATAAAACGATATTCCGTTCTGTAAGTAAAGTGATTCCACCCCCAAAACCGGGGAGCACTCTACAGCTCTTGCGAATCAATCGCAGTGCGCATCTCACTAATCGCCGAGGAGCTTCAAGCACGCAATCTCCCGGTCAGCAGTTGATGATTAAACTTTTTGATTAGGAGTGGCTGTGGTTAGTTCGGACTTTGACAGCATTTTGACAGCGCCCATGATCTCCCGGTCACAGGGTTTTCACCAAGTTGTTACACAAGCTTGTGTTCGCTGTTTCCCTCAATTCGGGGTTTAATGTGACGACTCTTCTGGCCTTGCATAACAAAACACACAAACTACTTTTTCCAGTGTTCAGTTGTGTTCCAACTCAACCACTTCCAACATACTTTGAGAATTGCATGTGACATTTGCAATGTAACTTGAAGCCAGACCCGTAATTCCGGTAGTGACTGCTGTAGCGATCGTCCACACTGCAAGCCATCATAAAGAACTCGCAACACATCTTCCAAGTCAGGAAGATACACATGTTTCGTTAGCTACGCAAAATTTGGTATTCGCTCACAATGTAAGTATAGTAGGAACCCGAGGGCCCTAGCTACGTGATGAGCTCCAAGCAGGGCGTAGCCGATGGGGGCTTGTCGGGAGTTTCTATCAACCTCGTAAGCAGTGTACCCTATCAAGAACTCGAACGGTTCGAGGAGGTGAATCTGCACCGACTACGGCACCCTGATACCGAAATATTTAAGACAATATTTGGTCCGCCATGATTTGAGAGCACTATACAAGGTCAAAACACTGGAGCTGGATCAATCTGGATCTAGCGCATTTTTGAACTCTCGTGTTCAAGGTAGGAACAGACTGGAAATGTAGAATGACGTCTTTGAAAATGGACTCAATGCATCAGAATTTCGTCGAGATACGTGAAGTTTACCTATACTGTACGCAGGTTACGACTGCTGCTTATCGCTGATGGAACCTTTGAGTTTATAACTTCGTGGTTATGGCTACCACTGGATCGTGCACCATTGCATTAGGCACTAACTGAATAGACTTTTCATCAATCGAAAAATCAGAAAATGCGGTGATGTTCGGTGTACAGATATGTCACGGGCTTGGACCTAATGAACTTTCTTTGATTCGGAGGGTGTCTTATGCCCACAGTGAATACGCAAAACCTTTAAAAACCACTAATGTGGATCACGGTATATTTGGTCGTGGGATTTAAGCATACATGGATGATAAGCGACAGCTGATTGGTATTCTGACCCATAGCTGATAGACCCTTCTCACCTGAAGCTCATTTGGTTTTTTTTACTGTCGGTGAGTATGCTTCTGTGGCTATCCCAGTCTCCCAAACTTTTTGTCTTAATGCAAAATGAAGTGTTCAGCATCATCAATCAGCTACGAACAGGCGAAAAGTAATGCATTCCTAAACCGGGTGTTACTGAAAACAAAGATTCGAGTAGTTGACATCTATGATTACTGCAATGTACACGTGCTCCAAGTTTAAACATGCACAAGTGAAAGGCTTTTCTGGACTTTTGCTCAACATACCAATGAACAAAACACAAGTTTGGTCAGGAGGTCTGGTCGCTTCTTACTTCAAAAATGAAGTTGTGAGTTTCATGCGACACGACCGCTTTCAAGAGGAGTGATTCGCACATCACGTTGGCTCAGTGGAAGTTCGTCAAACTGCTAACCGGTCTATTGCAGACGAATAAGGTTGAAACTCCACCAAGAGGCTGTGTATCTAAAATCCTCCTAAATATTTGTCATATACACACAGATGATAAACACCAGAAAGAATGACACTACTCTACCCTTGCCGTGTAGCTCCACTCCACTTACATTTTAAACTTGATTGTGCTCATCACCAGATAGATAGGTGGCATCCTTTGGGGATATCTTTCTTTGTAAAAATCTTATGAAATGTATGTAGTTTTGCCCAGAAGTATGGAAACTAGAACCAAACGGCTTCAACTCTATTGCTCGTTCATAGGCAATGCGGAAGCGAATCCAAGCATCCGTATCTCACACCCAAGCAATTAACTTTAATCCTTTGAAGCGACATCTACTTTCGAACAATATGGTGAAGGGAATTACGCAGTCACAGGAAATATGGGAACATATAATCCCACCTCCAGTAGTGAGGATCAACTATTCTTGGGGACGGGGACAAAAGTATGGAATGTCCATGAATATGTTTGGCAAATTTGTGGTACGAGGTTTTCTCCACTCTTGCACTCCTTTTGTTCTAGGTGCCCAAACAAGGGCAGCAAGCGCAGGTGGTTGAACCACTGTGCGTTATTCGGACAAGCAAAAACACCACAAAGTCAACAGTCTTGTGACCTAACAGGTCTGACTCGTTAGTGCTCGCCTATCCGTAATACCTTACACATAAATATACAGTTTTCAGGGATGTGGTAGCTGTTGCCATCACATACATACTAAATTAGTAACCTTACATTAACGTTTGAGCGAGTTTCAAAAGTCCTTCACCATAATCGTTTAAGAGATGTGCATCATTTTACATTGTTGGTTTGCTTAGTCATTTTCAAATCGGTTTCATTTTTTGCTTCTATCATCAGCACACTTAGATGGAGTCTCGGTTTGACTTACGCCATCCGTTTTTCCCCTGGTAACCGTGTTTTATTTCGTTGAATTCACAAAATCAATGAATCTGGGGAAGGTAGAATGCAAGTAGATAACTGATGAACATTTTTTTCAGGAATAGGCCACTGTCCCCTATTTGGGTGGCGAAACGAAGTAGGATAAGTCCAGTTTCAAGTGAAGCTTGTTGACCAAACACCAACTTACTGTAGGATGTAGGGGAGCATACATTTGTGGGAGCGAGGGAGTTGAGGCAGTGGGGTACCAGGCTTGTGTAACACATTTCTAGGGAGATCCACTGAGCTTGAAGTTTCCGTTTATCTGAAACGAGGCTCTATGTCCAGGTCGTCCAAAAGGAACTTGATTTGACGTAAAAAAATCCAGCTGCCACATTGCTGAAAAATTGTTGGTTTTTCGGCTCAGAAGACCAAAGAAATTTAAACGTAGATGAAGCTCGTAAGGTTTCACCTTAAGAAATATAATCAAAACTTTTTGAAATGAATATTCCAAGGACAGTTGCGGAGATGTTGATTTTCATTGTAGAGGTCGTTTGGACAGTAAATTCACTCATGAACTGCAGTAGACATAAGAACAATCCAGAGTTTAATCCGCACTAGAATAGCATGGTTGCTTAATTGTCCATATTACGGGTTATCCTCTGGGACGTTTGAAACCAAACACAGTGTATCTGTCCGGTCAGTTTTAGGCCTTAGTTTAGGTCTGAAGTTGATAGCCCTTAAGAGTGACCTCTACTGGTTAAGGAACTACTCGGGTTTTTTTTAATGAGAGTAGTAACTGTTTGGGGGTGAGCACAAAATCACGTGACTGACTGGAGTGTCCTTACGAAAACTCTAAGAGGGCGGAA